AGGCAGTCAGTTGCCATCCCTTTAAATAGCAGTTCAAAATTAGTGACTGTGTCAAATATCTTTAGTAACTTTGACATCACCAAAGCTGAACAAACTTGAAGTAAAAAAAAAAAAAAACTTACAAGGCAAAAATTGGGAAGAGCACCGAGAGTCAGTTATGTAGCTTTGTGCTTTGTAACAATATTTTGATTAACTGGATATTTGGAATAATCAAAAATAATAAATATTCTTGGAAATCCTAATTTTAACTAGAGACAATTGATATAACTGGAATTTCAATTAATCAACTGTTAGAATAACTGAAAATAATAACAACAGTAACCAATAATTATGATTAGTTGATTATTTTCATGAGAATCAATTCAATAGTGATTTCAATTAACTAACTGCTGAAAAAATCAAAAACACTAATTTTGATTAATTGATTTTATCATAATTTCTATTAATCAAATAGTTTATGTGACACTACCCGATGAAATTACTGCTCATAATAACTGATTAAATTGCCCAGCTCTAGTGATAATTATGGATGATTATTTGCCAACAGACACTTGCATCTGAAATAAACAATAATGCTACATTGGTTTTTCATATATTTCCCCACCAAAAAGAAATTTTCATTCTCAAACAAAAACTAAACACCCAATACATTAGAATGAAAAAAGATGAATCCAATGACAAGATTATCAATCTTACTATAATGGACATGTGTATGTCAGTATCTATGTATATAACCAAAACTCCTGCAACATCTATTGAATGGCACCACAAACAAAAAAATCCATAAAAAAATTCACACTTTTGGTATTCAAGATCCAGACAATTACAAAAATAACTGTGATATGTGCAACAACCATTTCTTTACAATAGAACACAATTTTAAATAAAAGTAGTCTCCTCACAACAAGAACATGACTTTCACTAGGATTGTACATGAGGGTTTGTACATCATCCCAATTATGTATGCATATGTTGCAACTCAGTATATGTGGATCTAACTTGTTTCCAATAATTTACACATCTCACTTAAAGTAACAATTCAACAATAAACACATTCTGTTCACTGGATAACACTTGTCTAATAGTAACATCATTTTCAGAAGAAAAGCATATCAAATATACAATATATTACATGTATTATTTTCATATTTTGGCCTACCAACCAGTGAGTTAATGTCAATGTAACTTACTTACATGAATGTGTGAAACACAGTGTGTTAATCTTGTGCATATGGCAAGGAATGTTAAACTTATAGAATTATTGATGAAATTGTTAAATTAAAATATGATACGTATAATGAGGTTGATATATTAACGTTTTAAACTGTAATTTCTTAACATTTAATTTTTATGAGCCTTATACATTAATATTTTCAGGTGTGTCTGTAGTATCCAGTATCTATAATAATATATATATATATTGCATAGAGCAATGCCCTGTGCAGAATGTTAGCGTTATACTGAAAATGAAATCTTACTCTCTCTTTCATTCTCCATGTGTGAGCAAAAGGTTTCATTCCTTCAATCTTCTCGGTATGTCTTTTTTCATTAAAAGCCAAGGGAAGTTGCCAATCTGAAAGATCACACACATCTTCATCCGAATCAAATTCAAAAAGCTGTCCGTGATAAATTGGACTTGTGGACCGATTTTTTTCACCAGAATACAAAGAAGCATGCGAAGTCATGACTACAACCCAGGGCTATTGAGTATTGACTACAATATCAATCACGTGTCGTATATAAATGAGGCTTAGTGAGTTCGCCACACCAACAAATTTCAACGTATCTGAATTCTACTATAAATGTATTATTTACTAACTTAGCTGCTCACAAAAAAAATCCTATCGTAAACGCATAAACATTATTTCAACTTTTTCTTATAACAACGTGACTCCTTATACAAAATGAAATATTTTTATCTACATTTGATAAAATAAATGTTAATTTGACCAAACTTTACACTGGACAAAGTAATGACATTGCTCTCTATTTAGATTAGTTTATATTTAACCCACAAGAGGATGCAACAATCTTTTCTTGTTCATCTTTAAATGTTCCGTTATTTACTCGTGAATTTATTTTCTTCGTCATAATATGAATTTCAATTAGGAAAAGGTGATGTAGAGACCTAATTTATTCTCTGATTCGCTACTTTATCTTATAAAATGAAACTTAAATTAGATTTTAAATATTTAAATTTTATATGTTGAATTAACTAAAATATACATTACTCTATTTCTTTTCTCTAATCAAAGATCAACATATGGAATCGGTCAACATTATAATATAGATAACGTTCTATATGTTTTACTAGTGATTATAAATATAATTGCTATAATTGAAAGAACAATAAAGTATTATCAATTTTATTTCAAACAACATCCAGTGCTCATATCTGAAATATTATCCTCAGTTAAAAAACAGTTGAGATAAAAGTGTGGGTTGTTTTTTTTTTAAAATATTTTTAAACACTGTTGTGAGAATGGGGTTGAGGTTTTTTGAGCATTTCATTTGTTTGTGAATGCTAAACGGAGTAGCCGAATAGTTTTTATCGCTCGTTTTCAGATGCGGCTCTAAAGGGGAGGGAGGGCTTAGGGAATTATAGCCACCTCAACCAGCGTGTCCAACACTCTTGCGAACTACACATCTTGACAGCAATCTCCTTAATATTCTATCTGGCCCTCATCAACCCCCTCCCCCACTTGGAAAAGGCTGGCGCCGGACCCCCTTGCTTACCTTTCAAAATATTTCTATGTTACCCCTTTTCTTAAGATAAAATTTCTAAAACAAAATTATAAATTAAAGTATGAAACAGTTATATACTTACAAATAGTAACAAATATAATACGTGTTTTGCTGAGAATTCAGTAATAAAAAAGAAATTTTACAACAGAAATAACTTGACATAAACATCAAATTTTCAAAATTCACACGAGTAGCATATTTAGTCATTTAAATTCCTTTGTTTCATCTTCGAAAATAGGTCATCTAGAATTCCCACGAAATAAAAAAATATCCTACAATCTGATATCACTGATGTAGTCAGAAACTTTAGACGGTTAGTATTAAGGATTAATCTTGTAAAAATTGACCAACCTCCTATTCACGGATGTAGGCAGGTGAAGATGCGGCGGTTCCGAACGGACATCCTAAATTTCACCATGTATGTATAAAACATCCTCAGTTACAATCAAAATGAACCATTTTCAGTTAAAATTACAATACTTCTGGGAAACCACAGTGCAGCTTGTGCTATATATGTATAACATGCGCTTTCTACCTTCTTATTTTAATATAGTATTTTAGGTAATTATGTCTCCACAGAAAGACATACTGTTTTTCTGTTATTTTTCTTCTTCCAAACACTTTTCAGTTGATCGCCCTTCTTTCAATTCTCGGCGGATTGATTTGAAACTTGGTAGGGTTATATCCTGGCCCAGACAATTTTATCGTTTATATAAATATATATATATATTTAGGAATCTTTTTAAGGATTTTATCGGGTCAAAGGTCAAACAACACAGAAATATATATTTTGGGCTCCTGTTCAGTCATATTTACAGCAATTAAGATGAAAATTGGCACAGATATAAATTTTCATACGGCCAACACACTAACATACTGTTACGTCTCTGTTCGTTCGTTAATTAGTTTTCTGTAAATTCGTTCCAACGAAACTTTAGCGACACAAGTCCTTTCTTAATTAGAACTGGTTTATTCTTTCCCAATACAACTTTACCGATACACTTAATTTCAACAGTCGCTCTATAACAACGCTATAATTCTCAAAGAACGTCTCACGTGCTCGTGCTCGAGAATACTCAGTTCAATTACACATTCTCTGACTGCAGTTCAATTACTCATTGTTCCGTCACGTTGTGACCATCTTATATATACCAGACTACCCCAAATCTAGTAGTTCCCGATAATTCACGAAGGTTCGAGAAGGACGTGGCGTGATACTAGTCACGTGACCTCGCTGACGCAACAATACAAAAAAGATGGATTTGCCTATTTTGAGTTTTAGGGGATGATAGCTCATAAAAAGCATTATTTCGGGGGTTTTGGTCAATTATTCGGTTATATTTAGACACATTTACATGGGTTTGGCACAAAGATACTTTTCTACAAGTCTCACACATTGACAAACAAAAATGCGGTATATACACATTTTTGGTAATTTTATGGGAGTCAAAATGTTAAGTAAACCCATAATTTTAGGGGTTTTCATCAATTACTTATCCTTGTTTTCACCATTTTACATGAAATTTGGTACATAGATACTTTTCTACAGGCATTGAAAAACAAACATGTTGGACTTGTTCATTTTAGTAATTATATGAGAACCAATATTCCACAAAAAGCATGATTTGAGGACTTTTTACAGTTACTTCGTTGTATTTCGACCAATTTACATGGAATTTGGTATTAAACTACTTTTTACAGGTTCCAAACAGATTTACAGTTTTGGAATTTTTCAGCGAGGAAAGTACAATTTGAGGGTTTTGTGAACTATTCATGTGTATGTCAACCAACTTACATGGGATTTGATACACAGATACCTTCTTGCAGGGGCCAATCAGTGATATAGACAAATTTCCATTTTTCTGTGTTTTTTACGATTTTTTTGGTGTCAAAATTGGCTATGTTGGGATTGCATGACGGAGACATGTTGCTTTCGCTCGCGAATGTTGGCTTCTTTAATTAGTTAATTATATTAGTATGTGCTACTTATATTTATATTTATATCAAATTAGTATGTGCTATTTCCATACGTTTTCTACCTTTTTATTTTAACGTAAAACTTTTCAAAATGTTTCCTATATTCCGATTCCATTCAGTTTTTGCATAACATGTGATCTAGAAAACTGTTAAATTGTCTTCGTTTTAACTGCCTTTGTTCCTTTTTTGTTCTCTAAAGATAATACATGTTCCGCCCACAGAAGAAATTGTTGTAAAACTGCACTTCGTGCAAAAATATCAATGACAGTAGTATCCTTCATTGGTAGAGCAGATGATATCTAGATGTTACGGCCTCCTCTATGTTCAAAAAGGATGACTATTAATGTGATAGTGATAGTTACTATGGTTAAACCCAAGTTTCCCGTCAAGTAAGAACATTAATTTTCAACAGTCTACATAGGTTCTTCAGTGAGTTGGTTAACGGGAAGACATCTTGAGGGAAGAAAATTTATTGTTCAATTCATAAGTCCAGCAGCAGATGGGCATCCAGTGTCCTAATGCAAGTGTGAACATTGTGTTTGTCCATTAATTTCAATAAAGATTGCTTTCATTTTGTATAAAACATCATATTCAGTCTGTTTATTTCTTTGCTTGAACTCAGTTAGCTAAATTCAGATTTCATTATCTATTCTGCCATTATAAAGTGCACTTATCAAATATTCTTTGAGAATATCAGTTTAACCTCACATAACATGTGATCAAACAATAGTTAAATTACTTTTGTTTTAGCTGCCTTTTTTCTTTGTCATTCTTTTGAAGTAACACGTGATCTGACAACAGGGGATTGGCTGTAATGTTGTACATTGCAGATGATGCCTCGAGGTTATAACTTCTCTTAAACAGAGATGTAGCCAAGACTGGGTAGGCAAATCCAAGAACGAGCGGGTCAAGACTGAGACCAAGTTTGTCGAGACTAAGATCGAAATCAATATATTTTTTTATGTGACCAAAAATTCAAAAAAATAACTTATTACTATTCTTGTAGCTCATGTTTTTTATTCAGAAATGTTAGTTTGATTATAAGGTTTGCCACATAAAAATATATTGATATAAATCTTGGTTTTGGTCTCAACGGCCTCTACCCACTTAGTTTTGGTATCACCCACCCAGTCTTGACTACATCTTTGCTCTTAAGTTCGAATAAGAATGACCAATCACTTGGATAGTGCTAGTTACTCTGCGTACATCTGATGTTACCTGAGAAGTAATTAACCTTATGTTAAAGCAGGCTGGTATACAATTTTGACTAATACAGATTGGACATAAATCAGCTTACCATCCAGTAAAAGCAGCTGTCCAGTATCCTAAACAAGCGTAAAAACTGTTTCTATTCTTAAATAAAGACTGTCCAATGTGTCTTACAAAGTGTCCAGCCTCTCTATTTCATTCTCATTAACTAATTGGGTTTCAGAAAAATTCTGTACAACTCTGTAAAATATATTTTGTTTAATCTCCTCTTATTCAGCAGACCTATCCTATTACTACAAGTAAAATCAGTTTGACCTGAGCATATCACAGGCTTCGCCACTCATTTCTATTTTCTTCCTAAAGCAGCAGCATCCCATTTATAGGTTTATATATCTGTGACATTTGTACATGATCCATCAGTACTTTCGTATGCGAGATTGACTGCCGGTTTCAAGACTTTACATTTCCAAGAATTTCTCTTGATTGTTATGGTGTCATAGCTGAAATAGGTACTAATATCACCTGCTCGTAATTAGCATATAATTCAGGTATAGAAGGTTTTTTTTATAAGTTTTCATGCACTTTTGTGCGTAGTCATGACATTCTTCTAATCAGAATGTCGAAAGATCATAAACAAAAAGATCATTTTACAAAAACAAAGATGTGTTATTTTCAGTTAAACTAATTTCCTGAAATAGTAAATTAGTAAGGTCCACTATATAATCAGAGCCATCCAGTGGCGCAGCGGTATGTCTGCGGACTTATACTGCTAAAAACCGGGTTTCGATACCCGTGGTGGGCAGCTCTTTGTGTAGCTTTGTGCTTGATAACAAACACACAAACAACATAATCAGAAGTTTGGTAAGATACGTTGCAAATTAATACTGAGTTCTGAAAAAATTAACTGAGTTTTTGCTGAGTTATAAATGAACAGGACACAAAGCGTAGTACATAACAAAACAATCTCTATTTGTACAACATAAAACAATAGCGTGGGTACTTCAATTTATGGATGATAGACAGTCACCTTTACTGAAGTTGTGAGTTA